AAGAAGCTGAAAAGGGAACACAACTATCCAGAACCAGAGTTGAATGTTAGTGATTTCTACTTCAAATGCAGCGATTTTGGCTACGAAAAAGGCATCAAGAACCAAAAAAAGACGATGATGTCTCGGTTGAAGAAAAGAAACCTTTTATCTTTTCGAAGAAGTAGGAGCAGGAGCAGAAGCAGGAGTAGGAGCAGAAGCAGAAGCAACCCACGATCTGTACGATAAAACGAGAAGTAGCGATTACCTATCTGGCTAGGTCCGAAAATTCGCCACTTAATTTGTGTGGTGGCAATCCTTCAACACAACTTCTCTTTCTTTGTAAAACCGCATTCCAAGGCWTTTCGGCAAGAAGACAGTATGCAAAGATACGGCTTTGGGAAAATTGTTTTGAATGTTTGTATTATGATACCATGTTGTAAAGTACGTAYTGCATGCTTAATCTATATATAGTGAATAAATTATGAAAAAAGTAAAAAGTTRAACGATTATGATGTACATCACGGAACACCTTTTGGTTCTACGCTGTGTTCTCAAATCTGGGAAAATCGTCATAGATCTGAATTGAAGTTAAGGATCGACCAGGCGCAAAAGTCTTCGTWCCAAAGTATGGGTGCTGTGTGGTAGTTCTGTCTTGTCATTTCYCATCGGGTTCGTTGTTATTTCGAGGATCGTTTGTTTTTTAGACCGGATTCGGGAGCCGCAATCGCTTCGAAACTCGAGGCGATCGCCTTGAAGGTCTTCTCATTCGAAGCAWATTGTGCGCTGGTAGTCGTTACCACCAAGATGACCAGGGTATCGGCCCCCACCTGGGTCGCCGCAACGAGTGCCCGACGYTCCGATTCTCGCATGGCGGGGGTCAGCGTCGTAAACCCCACGGAAAACAGGGTCGGCTTTGCGTCGCTCTCGTCGCCATCTGCCCGGGCTACCTTCTTTGCCTGGATGTCGTACGGCTGGCCATAGGCTCCAAATTTCCCCTGCGCTGCAAAGACGGATTCCATTAGGACCTTTTCAAACTCCTTCTTCGACTTCCATTTTTGGTCACTGCTTCGTGCGGCAGRCAGACCGGTGACCTGAACGAAGGCGGACTCCGTCGACCGGATGTCGCGCGCCTCGAGGGCTCCTGATGTCGGAAGGAGTGGCCACGGCGTCTGAAAGGCGACCAGTATMGGAGATCCATCTTTTCCCTTGATCTCCGATGAGACGATCCCCTTCTCATTTTGAATGGGGGCGGATGTCTCGTCGAACAGCTCGACACCTGTTTCGGGTTTTGTCTTTCCTAAGCCACCGACACCACCGTCGAATGCGAAGGCATTTTCGATCGGTGATAATACGATCGCTCCGAGGCTAGCAAGCCGGAGAGTCCCAAAAAAAGCCTCCCTCGACTGGAGTGGCTGTGGCGATTGGGGATATTCTTGTTTCTGCTTATCATTCCCATTAAATTCAGAGGACGAATGGACTGCATGCAYCCGACATTGCTGATTATCATATACGGGGRCATAATGTCGAGAAGATAAGTTGCTGCTGCTGTCGTTTTTAACCCTGTCGCCGGAGAGAAGGAATCCAYAGACGCTTCCAACGCCACCCGGTAGAATCTTCGTGGTCAACGCAACGAAAGCCAACGCCGCAAAGAAACCATGGTGTAGAATCGGAAATCTACAGCTGGTCCTCATCTTCATCGCGACCTTGCTTAGTCTTCGCCGTGTTGGAAATTAATCTTCCACTCGATAGGAACTGTGGTCTTGTGAAGACTTCGCTTGCACATAAAGCGACTCGAGGCTTTCTTTGGTTGGATCAATCAACAACTAATGCTGTCTCGTAACATACAACGGAATTACCGGTAGGAGTACGAGTACYMGTACTAGTCAGTATGAGGTACGAATACTGTACCACGAGAAAACTCGTACGGTACT